TTACTAGATTAATTACATTTCTTGATTCAACTAGTACCATTGAGAAAGAACTTTACAGTGTGTGTGTTGGAAAAACCTTTTTAAAACTGAAAAAAGCTTCTTGTTGCTACTGCAAACAGGGCGGATAATGTTCAGTGTAAACAACAGAGTTTAAGTGGAAACAGTGAGGTGATATTACTGAGGCCAATCAGCAGCCAAACAGTAAAGTCTCCCTGTCTGTTTCCATGTGTGTGAAAGCCTGTTTTCATGTTTGTCTTTGGAGAAGTTACTGTGTTGTATTCCCATAGTGGTGTTGTCAGCAGATACCGTGGGTCATTAGTGTATTAGTGTGGGTCCTCTGGGTGCTGAGCGGGAGAGTGCGTCTGAATGTGTGTGTTTTTGCTTGGTCTCCTGAAGAAGTAGTTAGACTCGTTGATTTTTGCATCACGGCTTGATCTCTCAAAAGTCCAATCTTGCTTTGTTATTAGCATTTGGTTGTTACTTCTCTATGCTGTGGCTCGGGAGGTAGAGTGGGTCGTCCACTTTGTGAAAGTGCTGTACATAGACAGGTAAAAGTGTACTGTAAAGAACTTTGAGAGGTCACATTCAAATTCATGCAAAATAGTGTTGACTTGCTGTTCAGACCAAGTTTGACAAAACAAACCGATTTTTGCTGAACTACTTCCTCTCTGCTCCATAATTTATCACAACAGTATCCCTGCAATAAAGCAGAAATGATAGAGTGCACCAGGAACTAGACTGTTTTCTGCTGTCACTAACTAACCAACATTACCTGTCATATAATCTGCTGCTTGTGTCTCTGGACTTTTCTTCAGAGGTGGACTTCTAAAGAGTACATAGACAAATACAAATGTAGAATGAACTGGTGCCTGTTGCTGACGCACCATCTCAGTGTTATGAATCCACCAGAGAACGGGCTGCAGGTCTTATAGCTCATGGTTGTTTAGACAGAGCTGCGACACCCAGCACGCCAAATAACCAAAACAAAAGAAAAGCCTGTTATTCCATTTTGTACAGTCTCTCTCTCTTTCTCTCTTTCTCGCCATCTCTGCCTCATTTTTCCTTTTTGCAATTCTGCTTTACAGCTTGAACAGTTAAATAAAAACACTTTCATAGCTTTTATGTGGACCCTCCTGGTCTTTTTATGACAAGAAGAAATGTTTGTTCACTCAGAACTCTGAATGTTCCTTGTCAACATTTTAAGTGAAGAAATGTAGGAGTCACGTTGCAGCAAAAAAAGATTTAATAGAAATTGTAAGTCATAGAGTACATGCCATTGGAAGTCAGCCATCTCTACTTTTCATTTTTATTCCAAACTTTTCTAAAAGCATTTTTTTTGTAAATCTGTGAATAACACAACACAGAAATAAATTGTTATTTGACCATTTGAAATCTTTAGGATATATAAAGGTCAATGTCACACGCTCGTGTGACGAGAAAGCCAGTGTTAACAGATAAAAATTCATTGTAAAATCCAAAGTGAATAATTCTAAGACATTTCATTGATTGTCTGGTCGTTTTCAATGACATTCCAGAGTGTACAAGGCCATAGATCTTTTATTTTGCACTGAAATGAAATATCTTATGACAGATGGATTATCAAACTCTCAAAACAACTTTATAAGGCAAATCAAAAACCTTCAAGATTAGGAAAATGTTAAGACATTCCTAAAGCAATTCAATACAAATGACTTACAGTAGGAGTTGAATAAAGTGAACTTAATTTACAGAAATGTATTGAAAGGCAGCTTCATACATGACAAGATTATGTTTATTCACAGTGCTCATTAGACTTTAAAACCACTGTAAAGCCAAACTGCTGCAGTCTTCAGTTTAAATGTGTTCCCTCTGAGCTTACGGTTCATATTTACTTCAAGATAAGTTGATAAATATATTTGTATTAAATGTTTTCCTCTGTGAGATAGATTTAAAAGTCAGCTCTGAAGCTGATTTACAGATATTATATGAAATGTAGAAATCCATCAGTTGGAGATAAAATTGCTCAGTCAAAGTGCTTCGGCATTAATTTGATTACTCGATTAAGCTCGGACCCATAAAAAAACTCTTAAGTGAGGTTTAAAGACGTAGCAATCTTTAACTTTAAACATCACTTGTATTATCATTGGTTATTTCATGCTCTTTTCATTAGAAACAGGAAAAACTATGGAACAGATGGAGACCTGTGAGACACTTAGTTAGTCTGAGTGCGGCGGACTCAGTTTGCAGAGGAAGGCACTGCAGCAAAGTCACGTTTGGTTCATGAAAGATTCACAGTAAAATCTCACTCAGCTCCTCGTCTGCGCTCAGCTACAGGTTTTCTCTTGCTACATACGTCACTGGGTTTATCTCTATGTGCTATTAGTTGCCATGCATTACTCTAATACACTCATAAAACAATTAATAAAACCCACTATTTGAATAAAAGAAAATCGGGCAAATGGCTCTTTTTGTTTTAGAATCTTTAAATACTGAATTTTAGGTGGTAATATGTGAGTCTTTGAGAAAATTTAATTATAAACCTGGAAAAAGTGTATTTCTACTTCTTTGTGTTTTAGCATGCAGGTTTCAGCTACAGTAAAAGCATGCCATGCGTGCATATAATCTGACCCAAGCTAGTCTACCACTGCAGTTATTTTACAAAACCCTAATATTCACACTTTCAAAGTCGTGAAATCTTAAAATAGCTTAATATTAAAACTACAGGTCACGTCAGACAGGTAAAAATGGCAGTAAAGTGATTTTAAACATGTTACAAACTCCATATAAGCTCCTAGTGTTTTTATCCTCAGAAATGGATCCAGAAATATCAGGTTTTAAATCTCATCCTCATATTTGTCCTCATTCCCGAATCTCAGCATCTGTTGTCATGGTAACACATGTTGCCTCCAGCCTGAAAGTATCTTAAGCTGTTTTCAGACAAGAACTCTGGAGGATGTCTGCCTTCTTGACATCTTTGTCTGTGTCTGCTACGTGTGTGGCTCCACTTCTTCACCCAAAGATATTTCAAATAGAGCCGCTCCAGAGGATGACCAGAGTTCAACGCATGTCTGAAACCAGCTTTAAAGACATGTGGGCATAAATGCAACCAATGGTTTGAGTTGACCGCCAGGCCGGGTCCCACATTATGATATACTTTACCTAAACTTTTTTTCTCATTAAATTAGTTTTTAGTAATAAATATAAGCCCTGTTCACTTTCTCTTAGAATAAATAATTGTTCATCCGTTCACATGTAAGATTTAAAACTTCTAAAAGACAAAATTTAAAGTATTTTTTTCTTGGAGTCCAGCTGTCCGTTGACCTCTTTGCTCTCCTCACCCAAGTCAATCCCATCTTTGGTGCACACTTTGACCCTCAGCAGGATATTGGACAGGACGTCCTGGTACAGACTGAGGCAGACCCAGCCGGGCAGGTAGAGCAGGGTGATGAGCCCCATGAAGTTGTGGGGGTAGTGGGAGTAGTCCCAGGAGCAGGCGTCGAACTGCCTGAGGACCAGGCCCCAGCAGAACTCCCAGGTGTAGATGAAGCAGATGTAGATGGGGAGCCGCTGCCACGTCCTCCACCCTCTGCTGAAGTGCAGGTGCAGGTAGAGCTTCTCCACCACGAAGCTGCAGCTGCCGTACATCAGGAAGGACCACAGGGACGTGTGGCCGCTCAGGGTCCGGTCCGACTTCTCCACCAGGTTGAACATGGAGGTGAAGAGCACCTCGTCCAGAAAGCCCTGCATCCCGAAGAAGAAGAAGCGCGCAAAGCCGGGGAGACCCTGGGGCGCATGGGCCCGTGCGTCCCCCCTGTCCCCCGGGCTCAGGAGGTCGGCGGTGCCGGAGGAGCGGTACCGCAGCCTGGACACCCCTCCGTGGAACACCTGGGTGAAGTAGAGACTCAGGACGTAGTGCACCGCCAGCTGCGTCCCGGACTCCACCCTCACCTGCTCGGTCAGCGCGCTCATGTGGCCGATGAGGATCTGCAGCCCGATGTAGATGGACGGATAGAAGACCAGATGAAACACCACAGGCCGACCTCGGAAACACCTCTTCTGCGTGTACACCTTCTCCAGCGCGAAGTGGCTCAGTGCGTGCACCACGCACAGATACGGGGAGGAGAAGCCCAGCAGTTTGGGGTCCCGATGGTTCGAGACCCCGTGCAGCGAGGACAGCAACACGTCCAGAGTCACGCCGTGCATCCCGTACAAGTACAGCCGCATCCATCGCGGCAGCTCCCGCAGAGATGCTGCCGCGTCCCCAGACGGTTCTTCTCCGCGGGGGGGCGGCGTCCGGGCCGTCTGCACCGGCTGCGAGCACCGGCTGCGAGCACCGACCATGGTCGGTCAGCGTGTGTGGAGAGATCCAGCGGTTCTCCGGCTCCACATTGCTCTCCGTTGTGTTCCGCTGCAGCCGCTCTGTGAAGACCGAGCTGCGCCTGAAGGCATCGTCCGCAACTGTAGTGACTGATGCTGTGTTCATGGACTGGCTGGAAAATTGGAATTTGGATTTTCCTGTGAAAAAAAGTATCCTTACATTTAGCAAAACAAGCTGTGTCAACCCACAACATGTTAAAGTGCATTTCCTTCCATTTGCCAAGCCACTTTTAAATTACACAATCTTCACCTCCGTGTTTAGCTAGCACACATAGATTGTATATAAAGATGGACATTGCATGTCCACTTCCTCCCACTGTCCAGAAATTAAGCCAACATATTCCCAAGAATGTACAAACGCTGCCATCCTGAGCATTTAGAGGCAAATTCTGCTGAGCAAAAATCAGGAGATCTGTTTTTATAGCATTGAATAACTAATTAAAAGCAAACTTACCGGAAAAATAACACTTGAACATTCATCGGTGTGATAAGAATGACAAGAGAATAGAAAATTACATGTACTTTCACTTTTTGTGTGTCCAAGTCCCATTCACTAACACAGAGGAGGCAGGGTTTATGACCTATAATTGGTTAGCCACCCGGGGGCAATCGAGACGTTTTGGCTTTCTCAAATTTTGTTAAGGCCTCATGTTTCCATCTTTACATACGGACCGTGTTAGCACTCTTACAACACTGTAATGTTTGACGGTACGTTCAGAGGAGGATTATGATGTGAATCTCACAGCTCCCCAGTTCATGCAGGTGCACGTGTGTCCTGTCACATGGGCACAATGCAAATAAAAAACAGATCCCTTCATAAACAACTAACTGGCACAATGTGCTTGTCACCTCTTTAAATTAAATCTCAACAGCTCGGATATGGTTGGATATTTGCAGGTGCAAAGTCTTTCTAATTTCCCAGCAGCACCTGAAGGTACCACAGTAAGAACCTGATGGAGGCTGCATCTCTTGTAGAAATCTGGAGGTGAATATTTATTGAGCTCACGTCCATCAGTGACGTCCTGAGCCTTTAATATTAATAACAATAGAAGATCACCCTGCTGTCATGAGATACCTGTATCCTCATTAACTCGTCTGTTATAGCTCATTAAATATTCTTATATCACAGTTGTGGCAAATCATAAAGGAGAATATATTTAACGTAAAGGTTTACAATAATGCAGAAATATAAAACTCAAATACTAAAACTGTATAAATGATTAGAAAGTACAACGTTTTGACCCTGAAGTGCAATGGAGTGGAAGTGCATGATTACTTAATACTTATCCTGATTCCAGATTAAATTGACATTAATCCTTAATCTAACCTCTGCAGTGGTCAGAAGGCTTTTGCAGTCCCTGGGTGGCCAGGGGGGGGGCACTGCTTTCAGAGTTGTAATGTAGATGAGGAACAGAGTGCAATGTCATCACAGACTGAGGTGTGTGATTGTATGTGTGTGTGTGTGTGTGTGTGTGTGTGTGTGTGTGTGTGTGTGTGTGTGTGTGTGTGTGTGAGAGTGAGTGTGAAAGGGAGAGAGAGAGAGAGAGGGACGGAGCCATCTGGTGTTACACCTCCTCCATGTCTTCTTGAAATGTGTTGTGTAGTGATCTTCGTGGATGAAGAGT